CACAGTGTGCCAGTGTCCCTTGGGGCACAGGGGAGTGACATAGTGTGACCAGGGGGTGTGACACAGTGTGACGTCCTTGGGCACAGGGGGGTGGCACAGTGTGCCAGTGTCCCCCGGGCACAGGAGATATGACACAGTGTGACCCCTCCCCATTCTGCTGTGTCCCCCAGCAGGGTTGCCCATGTGGGGTGGCACCATGAGCCTGGGGTGGCACTGAGGGCCTGGGATGGCACTGTGGGCCTGGGTGGCTGGCAGACACGAGTGGCTGAGGATGATGTCTGAGGTGACACCTTGTGGAGACACAGAGGAGCTGGAGGCAGCAGTGCCAGGGCTGGTGCCACACGGTGGCGTGGGGGCCTGGCACAGCGTGGCACTGCCTGCTGGAGCTGGTGTGCCCCAGATACTGCCCTGACAGTGGGACTGGGCTCCTCCACAGGGGAAATCTGGGATGCTGCAGTGACTCCCAGCATTTCCAGAGCACCTCTAGACCTGGGCACCTGTGCAGCTGCCATTGCTGCCCCTGTGCAGCTGCCAAGGTGCCAACCCTCCCAAAACCTCCCTGCCTCTCTGCAGGGCTGGGGGGACATGTGGAATTTGGTGGCTGGGGTCTCTGTGGGGTCGGGTCCCTCCTGCCCTGTCACACAGCCCCCCCAGAGCCCCCCCAGGCATGGAGCCATGGTGCCTGACCCACACACAGCTCCTGGGGAGGTGCTGCCCTGCCCTGTGCCCTGTCTCAGAGCCCTGAGAGACCCTTCAGGGGCTGCCCAGGGTGTCTGCCATGGCCACCCCACCCAGCCCAGAGTGTGCAGCCAGACCTGCTCCCTTCCCCAGGAACCTCTCTGCCATCCAGGACCGAGAGATCTGTTGCTATTCCATCTCCTGCAAAGAAAAGGACAACATTGGTGAGTGCTGGGGGCATGGGGAGTGTTAGCTGGGTACAGGGGGAGGTGACAGCCAGAGACAGAGGCTCTAATGTCCCCTTGCCTCTGCAGACATCACCCTACAGTGGCTTATCCAGCACTCGAAGTCCAGGCGGAGCTGAGGGCCCTGGCTGGATGGAAGCTGCCATTGTCCCAGCCCATCCTCTCCCTCCTGCTCTGTACCTCCAGCTCTCTCTCTAGATGGGTATTTTTAGGGGACCCCAGGCTCTGCTGACATTGGGGCAGAGTCCTTGTTTTTATTGTAAAGAAGATGTCTGACTGCCCTCCTGTCCCCTGTCCTCTCCTGCCCTCTCTTCCTCCATTTTGGCACTGTTCTGTTGTTGTCTGTGTATACAGTATATATATATGTATATATATTTTAATTTTTTAATTTAAGGGATAGTGCTGTTATTAAATTGGGCCCTGTGAGCAGTAGGAAAGCTGGGGCTCCCCAAGGCCAGCCAGGGGTCAGCATTGGGAGGAGGAGGAGGAGGAGGAGGAGGAGGGTGGTAGCAGAAGGCAGCCCTTGGGGATGGGGCTGTGCCAGCTGCAGGCTGGTCCCTGGGGCTCCCCTTTCCCTTCTCTGGGTGTCCTGCTGCTGCCTCCAGGCAAGGACCACCCTGGGGGTGTTGGGGGTGCCCACCTTGCCCCGCCTGCCTCAGGTTTGGGGTTGGGGGGATGTGTCAATGCCACCTGCAGGCTCCTCACCCCTCTGGGGGACAGGGATTGGCCACAAGCCACTGCCATCAGCCTCCCCCGGCTGCCTCCACTTCCCCAGGCCTTCTTTGGGGTCCAGGGCCACTTGTCCCCCTGCCCCACATGTCCCCTGCTCTTACACCTGGCCAAATCCTGCCCAGTGCCCAGCCTGGCTGCTGGGGATGATCTGGGGCACTGGTGCCAGTGCTGGGGGCCCAGCAGTGCCAGCAGCCCCTGGGGGAGCTGGGGCTGGCACCTGCAGCCCACCTGTCCCCTGTAACCTCCCAGGGGAGCTGAGCTGGCTCCCCACGTGCCAAGGGGCATCAGCTGTGCCCAGCTGGGGCTGCTGGCTCTGCCCTGGCCAGGCACATCCCTTGGGATGCCAGGGAGGGAGGGAGGGACACGTGGAGGCACCTGGAGAGATGTTCAGAAATATCTGTGCACCCTCAGTGCTGCTCACAGACCCAGGGGTGTGCTCTGTGCCTGCTCCCCATGCCCCATTCCCCATTCCCTGCTCCCCATGCCCCATTCCCCATGTTTGCTCCACATTCCTACTCCCTGTGCTCTGCTGTTTGTGCCTGCTCCCCATTCCCTGCTCCCTATTTCCCACTTCCCCATTCCTGCTCCCCCTTCCCCACTCCCCATTCCTCTCTCTCCTTCCCCACTCCCCATTCCCCCCATCCCATTCCCCGTTCCGTGCTCCCCACTCTCCATTCCCCACTCCCCATTTCCCCTCTCCCCATTCCTCACTCCCCATTCCCCTCTCCCCATTCCCTGCTCCCCATTCCNAGACAGAGGAACAGGGGAAGGAGCCAGTGGGGTCAAACAGCTTTTTGAGGGAAGCTTCTTGTGTCTCCCTAGACCAAGGAATGCTCTCCAGGGTCTCCACACCAGTGGGGTGGGCTGTGCACCATCCATCCATTCCAAATCAGCATCCTTTGGAAGGAGCTAACTGAAGACTTGCCACGGATCCCCAATGTCCCTGCCACCTAAATCCAGCTCCTGACACAGCAGGCTGCAGTCCCAGGCCTCTGGAGGCTCTGTTCTGAGAGAGGCCCCTGATGGAACCGGGCTGGGGGAGATGCTCACCCTGAGCTGCTGCAGAGCCCAGTGCAGGCTGGCACTGCCCCATCAGGTGACAGTCACATGGCTGCTCCGAGGGACACACCAGTGATGACACAAACAGCTGGGTCTGCTTTGGGCTGCCTGCCTGCACTGTGGGGTCTGCCCAGCACTCAGGGCTGGCTCCTGCTGGATGCAGTCGGTGTCAGACATTTCACTTTCTGCTCAGAGACAGGAGAGGCTCCTGGGAGGGTGTCCTGGTGCCACAGCAGATGCTGCAGAGAGGATGAGCTGTGGTGTGACCGTGTTCACAGGGGTCTGAGGATGAGGGAAGAGATGAGGATCTGACTCCATGTTTCAGAAGGCTTGTTTTATTATTTTATGATATATATTATATTAGAACTATACTTAAAGAATAGAAGAAAGGATTTCATCAGAAGGGTAGCTAAGAATAGAAAAAGAAAGAATGAATAACCAAGGCTTGTGGCTTGGACTCTCTGTCTGAGCCAGCTGACTGTGATTGGCCATTAATTACAAACATCCACATGACACCAATCCCAGATGCACCTGTTGCATTCCACAGCAGCAGATAATCATTGTTTACATTTTGTTCCTGAGGCCTCTCAGCTTCTCAGGAGGAAAAATCCTAAGGAAAGGATTTTCCATAAAAGATGTCTGTGACACTGTGGGGCTGTGAGCACTGGGAGCAGGGAGTGCCCAGGAGATGCTGTGCAGGGCTAATTAAGGCAGTTAATTGAAGTGCTCTGCCTCCTGAGGGCTGCTGAAGGCGTTTCTCTGCCTGGGACATCCCAGTGGAGCAGCCAGGGCTGTGTGCTGGCACAAGCAGGTCCCTGCCTGTTCTGGTGGCTTCAGGTGTCTCCTGTCCTGCCCTGCAGGTCCTGGTCCTGGGGAACAAGAGGGACCTGCCCGGTGCCTTGGATGAGAAGGAGCTCATTGAGAAGATGTAAGTGTGCCAGTGTCACCTGGGGTACAGGGATGTGACACAGTGGGACCTCCTTGGGCACAGGGGGGTGGCACAGTGTCCCCCTGGGGCACAGGGGGTGTGACACAGTGTGCCAGTGTCCCCTGGTGGTGTGACACAGTGTGCCAGTGTCCCTTGGGGCACAGGGGAGTGACATAGTGTGACCAGGGGGTGTGACACAGTGTGACGTCCTTGGG